GTATAATACACTAATACCTGAGTATTATATACCTAATCAGTATTAAGTTAAGTAGGTGGGCTTGTACGAAGTAGGTACCTACTTACGGCTATGCCTAGGTGCATTAGTTCATAAATAATGGACTAAGGAGTATATTTCATAATATTATCTATAAGCAGATTATAGGGGTAGATTTATTATTACGTTACCTATGTACAAGGTAATCCGTTCAATATAATAAAGACATCATATCACTAAGACCGTGTCTCCTATGCCTTGTTAATAAAATCAAAACGACGCAACCTCTAGTGAAACTACAAAATATGTAGTGTTGGGTGTTGGGGAATCAGAGACTTTCATAAATAAATAAATAATTATAGGAGATGTAAGCTCGATAAAAGTTACCGATAAGACAAATAGTTGCCCATTAATCACTATTATGTAGCTATAGGTAGTTATTATTTCAACGAGTATTCTAATAAATATAGTAACAAAATAATTGCAAGAACAATTAATATATAAAATCCTCTAATTTATGGAAATTAAAATTAAAATTATAATATATTGTATAAATTAAATAAATACGTTTAGATTAATAAATCAGTTAGGTAGGTAGGTACCTAATTATTATTTATTTTTTAATTCTATTGGCCTTAGATATTTTATATACTTTATAGTTATGTTCAAACATTTAGTACAAGAGCAACAAATTTGATCAAGGGGCCTATAATGTACCTACCAGCATATATCTTCAGGTGGGGAAAACCAAATTTTAGGGATGGTGCAATAAAATGCATACATACTTAACCATATCATACCACTACCAATATCGTTCCTAGAATAGGGGAGGTTAGGGGTAATGCCTCCCCCCCACATAAATACTCTTATGCTTGCCTTTGGTACCTACTATCACTATACAATTCATTTAAATGCATTATTACCAGGGTCAGGATTTTGTAGCATTTTCATATTGCTTATAAAATACTTAAGAGATACCAGATTAAGATTAAAATTTGTTTCTTAATTAAGATAACTAAAATTAAAAAATTTATTTTGCATATTTTGAGATTTTTTTTTAACTTAAGTGATGTTTTTGGACTTTTTGAGATAATTTTTCATTTATTTCTTATTATTTTTTTTTTTATCAATATTGGTCACGTCAATCACGTCACGTGTTTTGTGATTATTGCTAATTTGAAAAGTAAATATAGACCGACACTTGGACACATAATTTCGTATCATTTAGGTATCTAATTATAATTTTAAACGTTTGGTTATCTGCTGATTTTAATGGAAATTTAAGGATGCTATTATCATCGTCCATCGAACAAGTGTTTTAAATTTTGGCTGACACTCGTGACTCGAGGGCCACTCGATTCATTAGGCCGACACTCGATTATCTATAATAATGGATAACTAATACCACAGAATATTTTGTGTTTATCACGTTGTAAGATAGAGTTTATAGTCGCTAGTCGACGTGTGTTAAGAGCTTAAGGGGATTGGAAGCGGCGATTTTCTGTCTTTGTCTAACACACGTGCAAAATAGGATTATAGACGTGTTCTATTTCCAACGTACCGAATAATCTAGTGAAGCGATAAGAATTCTGAAAACAGATTTGAATTTGTCGTCAAGTCTACTTGAGATCGACTTTCCCACATTTTTGATATTTTGATTAAAACTTCTCCAAAAATTGAAATATGGCAATTTTTTAATTACTCTTTTTAATATATCATTTTTATGATTTTTGGGGGATAATATCAAAAATGTGGGGAAGTCGATCTCAAGTAGACTTGACGACAAATTCAAATCTGTTTTCAGAATTCTTATCGCTTCACTAGATTATTCGGTACGTTGGAAATAGAACACGTCTATAATCCTATGTTGCACGTGTGTTAGACAAAGACTGAAAATCGCCGCTTTCAATCCCCTTAATGACAAAGCTACCATACAATGTACTCATATGAGTTTACTGACAGTTAAAGTGCCATCTAGTGTCGACTTCTATATGTTTTACCAAACTGTGCTAAAAACATAGAGTGGCTAAAAACAGTACTTGTATTTTAATATTATGTTTATTAATATATTCTGTCCCATAGGTATCTGAATTATTCATGAACACTAGATCGTAGAGCTAGTAAATTGACATAAGCATTTCCTTTTGCCTCTATTTATCGTTAGACGCACAACCATAATCGTGGGCTGAGGCCTGAGAGTAAAAAGGTTGTATGTCAAAATATCTAATTTTTCCAGAGAGTATTTTTAAGGGTTGTTGTCAAATATCTTTTTATCATACAAGGATAATTTTTTATAATTGATATCAAAAAATCAAGCATGTTTTCTATAACAATATAACATGCGAACATAGCATCACACTATTTTAGTTTATTCATTAAAAAAAAAAAAAACAAAAAAAAAACAGTTTGGAGTAAAAAGGTTCAATACAAAGGACTATTTTACTCTCTAAATATTTTTTATTTAATTGATAGAACCTATTTACCCTATAGCACATTACACAATTTTGATCAGTCAGGCCGAAGTAATATGATATAATTTTATCTAAAACGTCAATCATTAATATTTTATTAAATCACTTTTTATTTAAATTATTCTCTATGAATATACAATACTGTGATGCAACATAAAATACATTTAATACATAATAATAAAAGATGCTCTGCTGTGCAGTAGGTTACAAGTGGGTCACTGCGTATAATGGATGGTATTAAATTTAAATTCAATGATATAATATCATTGTATGAGAAAAACGATTCTGAGCAGAGACGGTATGTCAGTCTACGTATAAGACATATTATATACTTATCTCCGTTCGGAGTACAGATGATAGATCAACAATTTTTTTTTACGTAAATTCTGAATCTCTATATTTTGGTTATTATCATATTTATACAATATAGAGCATATTTTATAGTGGTAAACGTTTTGCAGTACGAACGCCAACGTTTGAAACGTTATAAAGGTTGAAATTCGTAAGCACTTGGTGCGGTATGTAAATTAACCGTGGTATATATTTCAAGACATAATAGGTAACGGCTCTAATTTTAAATAGATAAATTCAATATACATAGGTACCTACTTTTGATTACTTTTTTCAACTTAAAAGAACGAAGCATTTTGCAGGTAAAATTATTACTATAGAAGCTAAAAAAGGTGCTCTGCTGTACAGTACAAAATAGATAAATAAAATAGTTATTCTAGGTTTTTTATTACGTAATTTCGTCCGAATTTGAACTTAAAACCACTATAAAAATAAACTGTGTCTATGTATATTTCATATTTTTTGGTAACAGAATAAACTACTTACGTGGAATTTTGTTTTAAATTTTTCAATCCCTATAAATAAGAGTTGAACGTTTTATAATTTTTTAACTACAAATAATTATCAATTTTAAATTGATATAAATTTTGTCAAAATTCGATCTTTAAATGCTTAAAAAAAAATTGTGCCCATGTGTTTTTAATAATTTTCAATTGATATTGTAACAATACATCAGACGCATTGTATTTAAATTTTTACACTTTTTGGCCAAACAGATAAAACCTTTATTGCTATTCTATAGAAAAAAAAAAACTAAAAAATTGAAAACTAAAAATGTCCGTAAACCGATCATAAGAGTTTAAAATATTTCAAAATTGTAATATGTTGTATAGGCAAATGCTAATATTAACATCAGTTGAAGTTTTCACGTATCTAAACTTATTCGTTTTTGAATTACAACAAAATGAAAATCACTACATGAGAAATCGAGTGAATATCCAATGTTGTAAAAATTTGAATTTCAAACGCTCTTAAAAATTTAATTTGACTTTCTTATAGACATTGTTTTTTTGATAAAGGTAGATAATCTTATAAGGAATCTTGTATTACATTTAAAACCGTAGATTTAAAAAGAAAAAATTTTACGAATTCTTAACTCAAAATAATTTGCTAATTTTCGTGATTTTTCCATATTTTGTCAATTTTTGAACTTTAAATGCTTATAAAAAAAAACTGCGACATAGGATTTTTAATATTTTTTAAATGCCATTGTAACAATATAGTAGGAGCCTTGTATTAAATTTTAAGCTTTTTTAACCAACAAATTTTAATGATATTTATAAAAAAAAACTACAAAAAAATGTGTAAAATGAAAATGTGCCTAAACAGTTCAAAATAAATCAAAACATTTTTAAAATGTTATCGTGTATAGAAAATGCTAATATAAACATTCAGTCAAAATTGCATGTACCTACGGTCATTTGTTTAAGAGTTGCTCCAAAAACCAAAATAGATTTTTTCGAAAACAGATTTTAGTGTAAAAATTTCCGTTTTTCCTTAATTTTTATTTATGTTTTTCACGCCACTTTTGAAAACTACTAGGAAATTTATAAAAAGTACCAACTAGATTCACTTTCCTATCAGAAAAGCTACTGTTGAAGAAAATCCAAGCACTTTTACTGTCCTAAAAAGTGATGACAGACACACAAAAAAATAAAAAATTTAAAAAATTTATAAAAAAAAACACATCATTGTAGAATCAATACATTCATCGTTCCACTCAGAATCTAAAATGTGCAATATATTTTTATAAATAAAAATAATAAGAGGATTGTTAGCATTAAATTATATATTATTTAAGTACAATAGCATATTATTTCTACAAAGTTAAAATACAACTTTGAATTTCTAACGTATCACCTTTATTAATTAATATTATAAATAGCAAAGGATTTAAAAGATTTTTCATTAGTAATAATATAAAATACATACATACATCTGGATGATAAATGTTATTTGTTTAGTATTTATATATAATATAAATACTGTAAAAGTAAACTAATATAATATTAGATATTTAAATAATTCTTTTTCATTGTTGTACTGAAAAAAAATATTAAAAAATATTAATTTTATTTTATGTGTAAAATTAATAATAATATCAAAAGATTATAATTTTGTACATGATAAGTGTATTAATTGTATTTAGATTGTGATATTGTATTAGATGGTGATGAGTTTATGGGACAACATATCAAAGTCGAAACTACATCAATAGCTTCCGAGGCAATTACCAAATTGATTAATTTACCAAATCAAGATAGAGGTTAGAATTAATAGAATTAATTTATTATCAAACAAAACAAATTTCTATTTACTTATTATAAATTGTTTTGTGATTTTAGAGTTGAATAGTAGAGAATCGCCTCGCGTAAACATCTTCAAGAAAATATCAAACCGTAAGTGATTATTATTATTGGCTGTAGTATTGTCAGTACTTATTTAACTAACCTAGGATTTAGGAATTCCTTTTTCCTGTTTCAGAAACCAACGATTCAGCATTTGACACTGTCAGACTTGAAGTCCTTAAAGAAGAATCAGATCTTAGAATTAAAAGGCAGAAAATATTAAATGAACAAGATGCTGTGATTTATGAGTGAGATGCTGTGAGTTTGGAAGAAGTCAAACAAAATCTTTTATATTAGCTGAACAAAAGTACAAACTATTTTTGAATGAAAGTAACCAAAGCTGTTAAAAAATGTTTAAAAGTATTTTTAATAATGAATATTTTGTAGTTGCAATAAATTGCCAAGTTGTGCTAAAATTGTATTGTAATGTTATAGTTATGAATTGTTTATAAAGTTATATTTTGTTTTATTTTTTTCATTTTTTGTTACATACAGTTGGAAATATTATAAAATACTGCTGTTTTATTTATAAATGTTTAACTGGTTATTAAATATAAGACATTAGTGCCTATTACTGATTACTTATTAATAATATTATGTACCTACCTACTTAAGATTTTTAAAATGATTTTTTATTTGGTTGTGTCATGATCAAAAAAAGTATGATCCCTGTATCAAGGGTGAAGTATCACCCCTGGACTATCAATAGGTATATGTGTGCATTCCATAGCCATTGTAACTCCAGGAAATTTGGATATTTGGTAAAATTTGTTTTGGACAATTTCTTCTTGATTAGGTTAAGGAGAATTGATCCATGTACTTAAATGGTTTGCAATTTTCAAAGACACATCGTTTACAATTTAACTGACTTAATTCAAACATATCTCCATTAACCAACTAGATTGGAAAAAAAAATCTAGTAAATAAAACATTAATATTATAGTGACTACCAAAAATAAAATTACTTGGTAGCATCCAGTCGCATAAAACCTTAATGCTATGAGAACTCTCCACATTTTGTTCACAGGTAATCCCCTCAGGTCTGTGTGGATTTGACGTTCTTGTTCAGTAAATGCCATACGCATCAAAATATTTAAAAATATTTTTTTTGGTTAATTGGAACCTTCTAAAAAACTCACTGTCCGAATAAATATTAATAAGATCAATAATATTTCTTTTATATTATGTTATTCACGCTCTGCCTTCAATTAGTTAATTTAAAAATCATAATTGTCGTCCATATAATCATCCATTTTAATTCAATTATAATTTATGAAATTTATAATTTATAAAATAACTTTTGTTTAAGTCAGCACTAGAGCTTACTGAGATTTCCCTAATTATAATCTAAACATTTTCTAACTTTATGTGTAAATCCTATTTATGAATACGAATTTACTAACAGTTAGATTTTACTAAAAAATATATACTTAGTACTTATTAAGATTATTTTATGAACATGAAAATGGTGATTCAAACTAAGTTTCCACTAAGTATTGGCTTAGTACGATCTATGAATATGGCTTATTTTTCTTTAGTTATTTTTGGATTATTTTTAGTTGATTCGGCTAACTTTATATTTTTTAAAAATTGTATACAATTTGGAGTTGAGTTGGAACACAAGTTAACTTGAAGAAAATCATCTACACCATGTAATGTTTTATACTTAACTATAATTATCTTGTCGACATATTCATAGTATTGTGTTATTGGTAGTGATAGGACTCTTTTTTTGTCATTCAATATAGAACCTTTTTATCCTCAAAAAAGTTTATAGAGTAAAAAGGTTCTATCTAATAGATTCAAAAATAACGAATAATACGTTCATTTTAAAGACATAGAACCATTTTGCTTTGTGTATCTCATTCATTATTACTCGTATGAAACCAATTTCTAGCTTAAAACATGCGCCATTGAAAACTCATGAGGAATATTTGAAAAAGTGGATTTCGAAAAAAAGAGATAGAAACTTTTTACTCTCAGCCCACGCATTCTATCTTAAACCGTTGTGCTTATACCCGGAGAGCCTTTATATTATTATCTAGGCTCTCTACTCACACCCTTAGACTTATAGCAATAGGCGAAACATTTGTCCCGAGGATGTGCCAAACGGATTAAGAGAGAAAGAGAGCACGAGTTTTATATCATAAGAGTGAGAGAAATGGCACTGTTCCGAGAGCAGCAAATACATAATCTTTAATAGATCCTCGAAACAAGCTCCACCCTTGCACGCGTTATCGTACCTAATGTTTCGTCTATTTTTATCGTTGAAGTATACAATAACGTTATCATATATTTCAATGACAAGGCTATAGTCCATGCTATGAACTATTAATAACTACTATTAATCATAGTTCATGGTCTATGCCACAGATTTCTATATAGTATTAGTTCTTACTCATTATTAGATGGAGAACTCGCGCCATGAATTGAAAAGGTCGGTTGGACATCGTGGGGTATTATTTATATTATGGCGAATAAGACTACTTATGATTTATTTTGTATTTTAGGTACTTCATTATTTCCAAACCTGTAGTAATAGAAATATTTTATATGAATCATTTTACCTACATTTAGTATTTTATTTTACCATTAATTTGTAATGTTATTCCTAATACACACGTTCGTATAAAAAATGAAATATTTGCCAACCGACAAAATGGCGGTCGTCCACAGCTTCACTTCATAGGCGTGCGCAGACTTAAATTTCTGGTCGAGCCTAGACAATTATAGTGCCCTAATATTTGGACTGCGCCCCTAATTTTTTTTTTAACACACCAACATACATGTTGATAATTTATTAACCTATTAATGTCTATAGTACTATAAATATTGTATTTTTTGTACTTATAAAGGTAGGTATAATGTTTTTTTAGATTAATAAAATGTATGTAATGGTTAGGTTAGGTAGGTACACACAAATATTTTTGATTTTTTTATACTTTCACGACAAACAACATTTTCATGATCTCCACGAACATATTATTATAATATAAGCATTATAATAAAATATTTAAATATATACGCACATTTTACTAATGCTCACTTGGAACAGTGTAAATTGTATGAGTTTCTTATACAATGTAGTTACATAGTATCTGTATTCTATGCTTATATCTACGGTGTTTTATATAGGTAAAAGGTTTTTTTTAAAAGGACATGCTTATACCGCTAATCGCTATCACTGTTATCACTTCACTGTAATGCCGTTCCAAGGTTCTAGATGGCGCCAGTCAGTAGTTCCACGGCAATTTTAGAGACACAGTTTGACAATTAATAGAGTAACCTAATTACTATATGAATTTGACGGTCACAATAATTCATTGTGTAACCGGTATGTTATCTTAAACGACTTAAGTCGTTATTAATTTACGACTCAATTAAGCCGAGGTCGTTATTGTAGAATGAAAGTATAGTAGGTACCTAATTACTTATTAGTTATTATACATTTTTTATATTAAAAATAAATATTTGATACACTTATATCTTTTTTTTTGCTTTAAATTATCTGTTTTTATTAATAAACTACTATTTATTATTATGTATAATGTAGATATGCACTAAGTACTAACTTAACGACCGACTAATAAATTATTTCTATTAAAAACATTAAATAGTCATTATATAAATCCGGATTATAAAGCGTTTCGAAAATAATAATAATTTTATTTTTAACTTTAACTGTTTCTTATCTGAATTTATAACCATTATCGATGGATCCAAGATCGTATGTTATTCCTATTACATAGATAATAATGGTAAAAATAGCTGACTATCTCAAAACCAGTGCAGATGGATTGGATCCGAAGTCCGAACCGACGGATTGAATCCGAAATTCGGATTAAATAATTGTAATCCGGATTCATCAAAAATAATGCTCAGCACTAGACAGTATCCAGGTACGGTTGATTGTTTTTAAATTACAACAAAATAAGAAATCGCTTAATAAAAAATTGAGTGAATATCCAAAACGTAAAATTTATACTTCAAAGGCACGTAAAAATTTAATTTGACTTTCCGGTAGACCTTTAACAAAACAAATATATTGTTTCAAGTTACTATTTAGGTATTTTTATTTAAATTAAAGGTGTTTTTGAATGAATTCTTCAAGACCCATAATTTAATGTGGCTTGAAACAACAGGTTTTATTTTTTTACACTTCAATTAACAGATTTTTATTATTTTTACAAGGTAGGCATATCATGTTGTTCTAGGACCTTGCGTGACTGCACATTTTTTATTTTGCAGATATCAGTGATTTTTTCAGCTCAGAATAAGAAAAAGGTTCATTCAGGCATGGACGTTCTTGCGGGAGGAAGGATATAGCCATATAGGGGATTGGTCCCCCCCATGGCCTTTTTTAGTGATAAATGTTCTTCACCCCACGGCCACTTTGCAATTAAGTGGATGTCAACACTCAATCATATAGGTGTAGACATTTAGAACTAATTGTACACCTATATATCTATAATCGATTAATTGTACTTTGTAGTATTGCTGCTCGGAGAGCTACTAGTTAATTTTTAGTATTCATTTCATGAACACCTTATCAGATATTTTCAATCGTGGACGTATCACATTTATATAAATACTTGAACCTTGAGGAATATTAACCATAATATTATTATAATTTTTAATAAAGTATTTTACTTATTTTAATTAATATGTAGGTATTGTCGGTTTTTATCATTTTCATACATGTGTAATGTGTTTGCTCTAAATATTAATAGAATTTAAAAGTTATAACTATTAATCACTCGGTGTTACTGCAAGAGTGTACTGCAATCTAGGCATAGGGTCACTTCTTGGGCCACTATTTTTGTGTGTGGTTTGAATTTGGCCTGTTTGAAGGCGGTTGATTACAACCACGTATTTTCTGGATGACTGTTTAGGACACAGTAAGAGACTTCTTGATCTCTTCCAATTTATTATTTTGAAAACTAAACAATTGGTTTTGCCATTCTATAATAGTATAATGAGATTAATGATTATATCATGCAATTATGCACCAAAAAGCATTTATCATACCAACTAGTATATATACTTAAGAAAAAAATAGCAATGGATAGCAAATGCTTTTTGTAAACCAACATATTTTTAGTGCATATTAAGTGCACTCTCTACATTTGACATTAAGTTAATAGGCATCAAATTAACATAAGCATAATATTGCGGTTGACGATCATAAATTGTAAATTTTATGGTTATGATCTGTTCAGCAAGCATTAATAATATGATGGCGTTCCGAAGGGTCAGTTGTTGGTTATACCTAATAATTACTAATTAGATATAATATATACATTAGTACTTTTAATCGGAGCTAGGTAAGGTACTTTTGATATAGGTAGGTACCCAATTCATTCAAATCCATCACAGTGACAGCTCAGAAAACCATTTATTACTGTTTATTCCTATTTCCAAGTCTCTACACAAAATAAATTAAATAGGTAGGTCACCAAAGAAAATTAATAACTTTTCAGAATAAAAATTTAAAATTATTAATTTGCCTTTTTTCATTTGTCTTATATAAATTACCTCTTTTGGGCTTTAATCATTTATTGATTGCAGACAATACATTAAAAAATGTATTTCCTTTAAGTAATAAATAAAAAATACTAATTTGCTTTAATTTCTTTCCTACTTATTCAAACAATCTATCTATCTATTATTCAACACATGGGTACTTTTAGAATGTCGCATTTCATCAAATTTGAATCATGTATGTTAAATTTATTATTTGAAAATAAAATAATCATAGAAACGTATTCTTGTATCTATTATCAAATTATACTCTATTTAACTGTATATTATAGATCACCTTATCTTGTACCCTTTTCACACTACTGTATATCACGATCAACGTGAAGAAAAATACCAATTTAACTAATTTAAGTTAGTAAATTAAATTTAATGGAAAATCCTAACCAAAATATTTATCTCCTTGTAACTTATTCTATTTATGGAGTGCATCAATTTCTATCTACCCCTTTAAGGGTGTCGGTGCTGGTTTTCCCAATTTTATTTCCGCAATTCTATACAATTTGAAAATTATTTAGTTGCCATCTTAATTATAATACTTTTCAACTAATTTAATCCCCGATACCTATTTAATGAAGAGTCCTCCCATAATGAGGACAAATTCTTATCACTTGTTATGTCCGATTTTGATGATTTTTTTTAGGTCGGATCAAATCCTGAATTCTAATTTTAGTTTAAATATAGCTAGAAGAAACCCAATATTGTGCATTATTCCAATGCGTATTTTAACTTCTATAATTATAATTTTGAAAGTGACCTTGATCCGACCTGCAAAATGTTCTCCGTTTAAAATAAAAACAGTTAACAAAATCGACTACTTTGCAGGGCGTAAGAGTATTTCCCGTAAAACATGACTTTGTACTAAAAACACACTGAGGTCTTGGTTAATAATTCATAATTCTAAAACTTTTAAACACTTGACCTGTGATTGTTGAATAAAAAAATCCATTTAAACATATTACTAAGGTACCTATAAATAACTTGGGTTAAACCTATAGTTAATATTTTGAATAACCCATCAGTCAATATTTCTACTGCATCGTTGAAGAGGATGCTACACATACATTTGATGTCTGTCTTACAAGTGAGTAACATAGCAAATTTTACGCTGAGCAAATCACGTTTAGCTCTGTTAGTTTAACGATTAGAGTGAATTGACCTCTTATACAATTTAAAGGTAAGATTATTATGCAGGGCATCATAGGCTTTTTCCTATATTTTGATTTTAAAGCGAGTTATTAGTATTTTAAAATGTACAAATAATTTACAATTTTAAAATACTCATAACTGGCTTTAAATTTAAAATATAACAAAAAGCCTATGAAATGCATTAGATAATAATTTTACTTTTAAATTTTATACGAGCTCAATTCACTCTAATTTTTAAACTTACAGAGGCACAGAGCTAAACTTGATATGCTGAGCGTAAAATTTTCTGTTACAAACTAGTAAGACGGACACAAAAAATGTCTGTATAGAGTCCTCTTAAGCTTAATATCCATTATTAATACCCCTTTAAATATGTATTAAAAATCATGTAAAATAAAATGGGTTTCTAATCGCACGGGTAAAAAAACAATTTATACTTTTCACAGCAATAGAGGGTGAAATAAAATAAATGGTGCTTAATATAGATGTGCAATTAATGAACAGATAATACCATCGATTAAAGCCATTGCATACTGCAAAATAAGTGATTTTAAGTAAAAAAATTGTCAATTATATTATAACACATGAAATTTTAATTGTAGGCATAGCCAAACTTTATTCACAAAGCGTGTAGATTCTAAATCACCAAAACGCATATAACAATATATACACACACATGTACACACACACAAAAATACATAAACTTGAACACAAATTTTTGGGTCACTTTACATACATTAAAATACATATTGATTTAAAAAATATACGTATTCATACACAGTTCCACATTAAACATATGCAACAACAAAACAGATACAAATGATACAAATTAGAAAATTCCAAAATTGGATTCCGTTGAATTTAAACCTCTACCACACAGTACTAACGACCCAAAATAGTTCAAAGAGTACTGCAGGATGGGTTCTCTAAGTGTAGGGTTTCAATGGACTAGGTCGACTTCACTTCATTATTTTCAGGCATTGAATAGAACAGCCAGTTCCATCCATTTCCATATCATCAACACAATTTGAAATGCATCTGCTTTTTTATTTAATAAAATATATCTGTAGTTAAATATCATATCCGGAATGATAACAGGAATTTCTGAGAATCAAATATTTTATAAAAATCAAACATTTAGAAATCACAAGATACATTTTTGAAACTTACAGCAATACCTCGTATCAATTATCCAGGAACAAAAAATACCGTTCAAATATAAACAAATTATATTAGGACTTCAATAATTGTAAAAAAAAATAATATAAATTAACAAAAGTTAATGACATCAAAACAAATAATTTTAATAGCTAATTAATGTGAAATAAAACATTTCAAGTTAGAAAAATAAATAATTTAATATATATACAAATGCGGGTTGCAAGTTTCTGATGAAAAACAGTACCATAAACCACCAATGATAAGTTTTGAGCTGTATAAATCAATATTCTTCGATAATAACAGGTAACATAAACCATGAAAATATTAATTAATTTACTTGAACCGGCCATCTAATTCAATACTATTTCTAATAGGTAATTTATGTATTAAGAACGCCAAAAAGGACCTTAACCTGAGCTTCAAAGATGTCCAGCCACAGAATATGTGACCATGCCATCGTTCAGAATCACATATATCTTAAATTACAAAACCAGTTAAACAACCTTACAAAGAAACATTAAATAATTTCAAAATTTAAATCAATAATTTTTGCCTTTTCTTTCTTGTACCAACACAAACAAATCTTCTACTGGTTCACTAGTCATATTCACAGTTTTTATCGAAGCTGGAAAGCCATATTTTTACACCATAATGTACTTGCAACAAAAACACTTCGCTGGGTATTTCTTGGATATTTGTGCAGTGTAATTCAAAATATTCTTATTGACAATACATATCTAAAAAAAATGGTCAAGGTTACATTTCAATCAAATAAACATAAATTAGACAAATCGAAGCTTGTCAAATAATCGTTTTCCAGAATAGATCTCATTTTTGACATGCCTCGATGTGTACCAATATACTTTGCGAAGTAAAATGGTATTCTGGCGATTACGGCAAAACAGCCATGATTATATTGACAATGCAATATTAATAAAAATTTTTTAAAAAAACGTATTATAAAATAATAATTTGTATATATAATTGATTTTATATAATGTCATTTATTACAATATGTTACATTGTATATGCAGTTTGATAAAAAATAAAAAATTTATTTTAATAATTAAAGACAAAAAAAAAAAAAACGTAATAAGTATACACATTTTTTTTTTTTGAATAAAACAAAAAAATATTTTAAAAAATTTACCATATAAATAAAATTAAAATACCGTCTAAGATTTGCTAAGAGTTAATACTTTTGTATATTTCTTTTTAAGGTCTTTGGGACAATGTTTATCAACCACATCATCAATTAATGTTTTATAGTCAAAAATTTTTTTTAATTGTTGTCTAATTTCCTCTAATTGACTTTTCGACACTTTGCTCCTTTGAATATTATCCTAAAAAAAAAAAAAATTGTTTTATTATACAACAAATATAAACATAGAGAAAGAGGTTAGAAAATTTCATAAATTATATCAAATTGTACAATATATTTTGAACTATTTATTCAACATAATTTTTTTTAATTTTTTTCATTCAAATAATAATAAACTAGTACATTAATTGTAAATGCATTTTATTAGGTTATATCAAGCTAAAAATTTAAAAAACAGAAAAAATATTATGTGAATAAATAATAATTGTAAAAGTAGTTGTAAATAATACAATGTTGAGTTGTTAACCCTCAACAACAAATAAACACAATAACAACTTAATAAAATATTAAAAACTTAAAATATAATAATACATTATTAATAAAGATTCTTCATTCATAAATATAACAGTAAATAAACAATTTTTTTCTGAATACATACTTTAACGAGCTCAACAAGATTATGGCATGTCCTAATATCTTTAATACTCGTTTCAAATTCAGATATAAGTTCATTCATTTTTCCAATAATTTCTTCTTCGATATTTATCTATAACATTTTTTAAATTTTGTTAGTACATTTTTTACATTACTATCAGAGTAAATAGTTCTTAGCTAGGGTCATAAACAGACGAGATGATGTGGTCAAAACTACTAATTTCTATTTTTTATTCCCATTAATTTTTATCTAATAATATAGCAAATTAAATGTCACTATACATTTTAAGAACTGTAATAATTTCTAAATATCAAAAATTTTATTAGTACCTAATTATTGTATACCATAAATTATTTTCTTTAATTTTATTGAACGCACTACATTTATGTGTAACTTTATCAGATTTATACTAACTTAAAAATATAATTTGTAATTGTAACATTGTCTGAAATTTAGATCAATACAAATTAAACTATTTCAAATATAAATGTACAGTTGTTTAATACTTTCAAAATAATAAATGTTTATAGTTTACCATTCCATCGAATTGATTTAGTAAGTGCCGAACTCTCCATCCTGATATGCTATCTGACGTCCATTTTTTTGCTTGCTGCATATCAGCTAATTGCTTTTTGGTTTCTTTAATTTTAAAATCAGTGTACCTACAAAAAAAATCTTTTATTAACAATAAAATCAGAAGTAAACTATTAAAGTTACCACCATAGAAAATTTAAACCTAATACTACGTACATGTATATAAAATTCAAATTTTCTAATAATCTAGATACACATAAATGTGTTTTAGATAGTGAACATTTTTTTAGTTATTAATTGTTTCTATCAAATTGAAATAGCATGTGTGCATATTAAATCTTAAAAGGACCTACACGTGCATGTGTTGTTTCCATCTTACTAATGTAAACATATCAAATTTGGGTTTAACAGAACCAATTTTGGGTTATTAGGTAATTATTAGAGTTAATTGACCTATTATCAAGCTTATGGGGAGCTGCAGTCGATGAAAAAGTGGCTTAAGACCAAAAAGCCAGACAAATTTAAAGAAATTTGGTTTGAAAACAGATTATGATTGCTTAACAAGTTCACTAGGTTTGAATAGACGATTTTTAATAATCCGAATAATGTCAGTGTCATGATAAATAATATAATTAAAAAATATCATATATTGATTCATAGAAGTCACAGCTAAGAAAATAGATATTCAAAATCACCCATATAATAAAGTTGTAAAAGTATTGATTAATTAAAATCAGTTTTAAAAATTTTAATCCGTCAAACTATATTCCTTCAGTTTTGTCTGGCTTTAATGTAAGTTAATTGAAGCCAACATTTTTATTTTTATTTTGTATGATTTTAATTAAAAGTAAACGTTTGTTTTTGGTTGATATTATGTACTAATATAATTTTTCCAGTAATTAAGACAAGGAAGTAATACTATACCTTTGAAAATGGTGAGTGTGTCCCCGCCACGTATTCTTATAACTACCCAATAATGTTGGTCGTTTATTTTTAGGTTTAATGCAAGCTGAACTTTCATCACTGACTTCTACTGATGTTTTAACATCATCGAAGAATGTTTTATCTGATTTAACATAATCAAAATCTAAAATTCAAACAGAAAACAGTCATAATTTTTATAATTTAGACTTGGATTGAAATCGTAATTAATGATAAAAGTAGTCGGTAACTCACCATCTCCAAAATCGTTCCCAAAATCATCATCATCGTCATCATAATCATCATCTGCTGGACAATCATCATCAACATCCATATCATCCAAATCGTCTTCGGCTTCATCCTCAGCATCGCCATCAATTAAATCATCATTACAATTTAAATCATCATCAGGAAAATCATCAGATTTTTCAATTTTCAATAATTTCTCATCCACATACTCCATATCATCACCAACTATTTTGAACGGACTATCTTCTTGATTAACAGGGCTAAAAAATAAAGTAAAACATAGAAATTGTTTGTACAATAAAGAATAATTTAAAACAAATTGTTCAATAAAATGTATGCTTACAGTAACTGTTTACGAGGTTTTTTCCGTGGACTGATTTCAACCAATATGTGTGATTGCCTAGTTATTTCAGCAATTTGAGGTAGTAATCTTACCTCTGGTATTTGTGGTACCATAATTGATTCTAATTGTAAACCACTTTCACTATATCCATTTCTGTTTAGTGGTGTATCGTCCATATTATGACATTCTTCAATGTCTGGTTTGGTTAAAATTGGTATTAGATTTTTTTGCGCCCTGAGTACACTATATTTATAACATAATTTAAGTATTAGTATTTAAAATAAACAAAAAATACCTCATAGCTACTTACCCATCTGCATCACGCTTCCTTAAAATACTAGGCCTAGGTGAAATAATTGGTTTAAACACATGTTGACTATTGGGTATATTTATACATGGCTCATCAATAATTCCAGGAATGGGACCTATTACAATACAAAGTTTGTACATAAAAACATGAATTAATATCCAGAAATATATGATATATAATAAATATATTCAAAACAGCTATTTAGGTTTCATCTAGATAAGTATTGTCAATTTTTTAATTTTTAAAGGCTAAACTGGCATTTTGATAAATTAGTTTAAATAATAACTTGGACCAATTAAAAATTAAAATCCGTTTCAGTGCTAATTAATTGTATGATTTATGTATAACAGAACTTAAAATACTTAATTAATGTTAAGTTAAGCTAAAATAGAGTGAATTGGCCGGCTATAAAACTTAAAGGTAAGAACATTGTCTGTTATTTCTTGTAGGCTGTTTTTACAATATTTAAATTGTTTAGCAAGTTATGATTATGTAAAATATTACGACATAAAAATTCTCATAACTTAAGAAAACATACAAAATGTTCTCACATTCAAGTTTTACAATAGGCCAATTTGCTATAATATTACAGTTTACTACACAAAATTAAAACTGTTGAACATAATAATATACTAGGTATTTGACATCCAAAATAAAATAATCTTTTATTTTTAAAATATAATAAAAAGTGATGAGGTATTTTATTCACCTAAATATTGGAAATTGACATTGAACATATTACAAAAGTACAAGTGTACAACCATTGATTATAAATATTATAGATTGCTCACTAGCCGGTTAAACGCTTTGCGCGAAAAAATGGATGTGGATGTTATGAAGCGCTGTTGTTCGACATTTCGGATTGGTTCCTTATGAGCAACAACAGCGCTTCAAACGAATCTAGGGAAAAAACCGCAAAGCTATACCTAACCGTACTGTTGGGTACAGCTGTCAAAAATAATAATTAATAATCATAATAAAAATATATAACATTTGAATGATAATTGTTACATTATTATAATATTGATAAATAGGTAAATATTACATTATATGCATTACTATATAAATATTTAATTATTTATAAACGGATAAGTATACACTTTGGTAATAAAAATTTAAAGTACAGTAAATTGAATCTCAATTTGACAAATATTATACTCAAATTAAATAATATTATATTATACATTAGTTAATGTTTTTAAAATTAATTGTATTCCTGTTTATGAATCCCAACATCTTAAATGATTTTTTAACTTATTAATATGTAATATAATAATACAATTATCAATTTTATAATTAAGGGCCGTTCTTACAATGTCCTGTAAGTGTCGGTTAACTTAAACCAGACATTGTAAGAACGGCCCTAAAAATAATAACTAATAACATTATCCAGACGAAAAAAAAATTAATAACACCATAATTATTTATATTCAGTGGAAGGTAATTCCGACAACTATAAGTAACAAATTTGCTTAGATTTTACTGTAAAATTAAAGTATAATTTAATAGTCAATCATATTTAATATTTGTTTATTGTATTATAATTTTGATGTCTAATTGGAACTGTAGGTTTAAAGTACAACTACTCGTATACAAAATCGATCTATTCATGAAAATGTGTAAATTCTATGAAGTGGAAAAGGTAAATAATATACCGTGTCCACAAAAACACAGTAATATAATATATAAATATTTGTCATTTAAATATAAAAAAATTAAAATTAGAAATAATTATCCAAAAAAAAACAAAAATTTTAAGCTCAGAAGATCACGTATACTTAAAATTGGAATGATAAAGTGGCATATATAGGGGTAAGGGGGTTCCGCTCCTACCACAAATCGCTAATTTGCATAAACTGTTAAATATATAGTAGCATCTAAGCCTCTAGGTGCTATAAAGATCACGTCTACCTATTATATAGCCCAACCAAAAAAAATATTTCTATATAAGCCACTGGAGTGAATTGACTTCTTATAAAATTTTAAGTTAAGATTATTATCTAGGCAATATTATAGGCATAATATTATATTTTAATTTTAAAGCGAAATATGAGGATTTTATGAATTTTTTTCCGATTACCCTTCAAACAGCCACATCCATTTTTCATCAATTTTTCGAGCAGTGTAAATACGGGCCAGTGAGGGATCTATAGTATTTATAATCATTTATACAACTAACAAAATAGATTGAATAAAATGAAAGGTAAACCGTGAATGAAATAATGGAACAATTATTTTAGGAATACCAGTAACTAGTAAGTACTTATGAGTATACTGAAGTACATGAAAATATTTATAAACATTTCTTAAAAAATAATAATTTCAATCTTTTAAAATCACACATCAGTATTTCAACAGAGAGGTATTTGATGAGAACAAAGGGTTCTCTATAACCCTAGTAAGGTTATAGAGTACAACAAACATTGTCCAAAGTTAATCAAAATGATTAACAATTTTAATACAGAGCAATATTAAGATAATAATTCCAAATAATTATTATAAGAACAGATTTTTTTATAAGCATTTAAGAGGACGCTACACCCGCATATCTGAGAAGGCTACAATCATAACTAAGAAACGAAATTTTCACCACACAAAAAGGAGAACTTTGGCTGTGCAACGATGTTTTTATTTTTTTTTTTTGATTTAATTTAAATGACAAATGTTTGAAAAACACAACTAATAATGGTTTTTGAAACAGAAAAAACTTTTTTCATAGTGATATCAAAAAAATAAAAACAAAGTTGCACAGCCAAATTTCTCCTTTTTATGTGGTGAAAATCTCGTTTTATAGTTATGACTGTAGCCTTCTCGGTTCTTTCCCGCGCAAAACCGTTTTTGGCCATGTTGTACATTTGTAAGACTGAGACAATGGATGGGGGGGGGGGGGTATAGCGTCCTCATAATGTTTGAACTTAAGTAATCATATTAATTTCAAATGTTTGATTGAAATTGACCAAGGCATTTTTGATCTCAGATTAAATTTACAATTTAAACTTAGGTCTACGGAAAACGCCTTATAACTTATCTCATACAATTAACAGGAAGTCATACAAAAGATAATCATTTAAAAACCAAAACTGAACTGAAACCAGAGGATAAAACAAGATATAAATTAGTTATAAGCTAGATTTTAACAGTTTTTAGACATACATTTAAATGTTGAAGAATGAATTTATAAAATATAATTTGGAGATTTGAAAAAATCTGGAGACCATGGTTAAAAAAAAAAAATTCTGAGTAATGACCAGAAATAAGAAAAGGTTAAAACTATCTTAGGACAGAAAGAAAAAAGTTAACAATGATTAAACACAACATGTTAATGCTGTCAATTTATACCTTAAGATTCATGTCGTTGTTTTTACTAGGTACTAATAAATTGTACCAATCAATTAACCGTTAAATTCATTGGAAATCCCTCTTCTATAATAAATTTGTCAAATTGACAAATAGTAAGCAATTAAGATGTATTAATAAGGGTTTGAAAATAAAAGAATAAGAAATATTTAAGATTATAGATAGATTATATTTTAGCTTATTTTAAGTAATATATTATGTATAATTCACTGGAAATAACTTAATTTAAATTATATTTTAAGATTTGACAAATAATAAGCAATAAAAGTATAAAAATAAGGTAAAGTTTCTAGGTTTAATAAAAATACAGTGAAACTTCCATATAACAAACTACCATTTAACAACATTTTCTATTTAAAGAATTATTTTTGAGAAGCATGACCTTCATTGTTTATCATGCATAAATTATACGTAATGAACCAAAATGTTTTTGGTTCCCACGAGACTTTGTAATATGGATATTTTACTGTAATAGGTAATTTTATAAACTACAATACATTTATTTTTTAACATTTACATTGTTGACCAGATATCAGTTATACTTATTAAAGTTATGTAACCAAGTTACATTTGGAACTTGTAATCAATTAAATAATTTTTAAATAACTTTAAAATGTATAGCATTACAGTTTATATTAGAACTTTAAAATAAAACTTACTTGTATCAAAGATATCACATTAAATAAAAACAATTGGACAATATAAATATTGTTTATTTTATTTTTTAAGTGATGAAATATTTTATAATATTGAATATTAACAAATAATTAATTATATTTATATAATTATTATAGTACCACAAGTTTTCAAAAAATATTGATATAATTATTACCTACTGATTCAAAATTTGATCAGAATTATTGAATCATACGTGCTGTTTATCACACATTCACACTGAACCAGGTATATATTTTTAGTTTTAAGCTAGGGAACAAAATTCTGGAAAATTTCAGTACCAGAAAGTATAGAAAAATTGTAGAATATTAAAATAATACATTTTAAAAAAAACACGATTTTTGGAAAGTCTAATATTTTTATTTAGGTGGTATTCTTGAAATAATTTAAGTATAAAAAAAACTAGAATTCAAAAATTGACAGAAACTTTTTAGAAAATAAAAGTATTTTTACTTTTTAGAACTCAATAAGTTAGCACATTTACCATTATAATTATATCAATTAATATCATCTTAATACTTTTTATTTCAAGCTTCAATAAATAAATACATTTATTTGTTTATGCATTTGATATTAATTGTTTTTATTGGAATTTGGATAGGCAATTTTTTTCAGCATCTTAGATTTAATAATTTTACATTGATTATATCTTATATATATATAAAAATCTCGTGTCATATCTTTGTCCAGGATAAGCTCCGAAACTACTTGACTGATATTGATGAAATTTTTACAATGTGTGTAATTTGCCCGAACTTAGAAGATAGGCTAATTTAAGAAAAGAGAGGACCAACCCCGGGAGGTGCTCAAACGGGAATTTTGAGATTTCAGATGGAAATTTTTGTTTATTAATGGTTGCCATGTGTGACGTCGTATAAAATGATTCATTCTAGAAATTTCAATCCAGAATTATAGTGAATAATTTTAATTCGTTGCCACAAAAACAAACAAACCATTTATTATAATCATCGACAATTTGTTATTGTACATATACATATTCAATCAGTATTATTATTATGCGTCTATAAGCAATGATAGGTTATTGAGCTGTATAATAATTATAAAAAAAAAAGTATTTGCTTTACTTTTTAAATATAAATTATAATATAGTAGGTATCTAACTATAAAACTTTTTCAATTTTTAAAAATGAACGAAAGAGTATTTCAAGGAGAAGGTTTATTTGAAAGAAAATTTTAGGAAATTCTATTGGTGTATAATATATTGGTTGCTATTGGTTAATCGGACATGTTTGTTGATTTTTATTATTATCTTTTGTCAATATACATATATATATATATAATATACAAGAAGATCAGTTAAGTAGTTCCAGAGTTTAGTCTGTATAGTTATAATCTGTGTATTTATATAGTTAGATTTATATATATATGCATATAAATTAATTTTTTGTGAATTGTGGGTAGATTAGAACTCTGGAAAGAAGATACTTTAATTTACAAAGGGTTAAATTTGTTAAACAGCACGGGGTCCGCGATCTACTCCGCAGGTAGATTGCCTACTTGATAATGTACTGTTGTGGATCAGAATTTTTATTCGCGGCAACGGAAAAGTTAAGATAAATTTTGAGCACCATACACCGAATATTAAAAAACGAATTGAACAAAGCTTAAGCCGTTTAGAGTTGATACATTTAACGGGCAACGAAGTGCACTGGATCAACTAGTTATAATATAAAATAAAAAATATATTTAACATTTTCAAATAGTAGTTTTTGAGACATAAATAATACCAATTGTTTTATGTTAAAATTATTAAAACTGTGTTAAAAATAACTTAAATAATATTAGCATAAATAAATTATAATAACTAAAATTTAAATTGAATGCATTTAAAATATTTTTTAAATAAAAAATAAAAAAGCATTATTAAACAAAAATATGCCTCAAGATTTTCAAGATAAAATTGAATATTAAAATGAATAATTATTTATATTATTTATTTAATTACTGAATCCTATCATTGATACCCAAGTGGCTCCAAAGAAGTATATATGAAGTATTTTATGGACTTTAAAAATATAAGGTGTAGTCTGATTGATACAAAGATATCTGAGAAGCTAAGAATGATTAAAATGTACAAATCTTTAAATTAATATTTGAATTATTTAACAACTTAATTATGATTGTTCATAGTTAAATTATTTTACTTAGTTAATCAATAATATTTAAGTTATAAAAATAATAATTTTATATTTATTTAGTTTTAATTTTAATTTTACTATTTTAGTATAAATCTTTATATATATATATATAAGGATGAGGTAACAGTCTGACTGATCTAGCAACGTATAGCCGAAACCACTGGTCAAATCTGGCAGAAAATTGGCATACAGATAGCTATTATGACGTAGGCGTCCGCTTAGAAAGGATTTTTGGAAATTCAACCTCTAAAGTGGAAAATAAGGGGTTGTACGAATATAACAGTAGTGTCATCTATCAAGCAAAATCAAATTTAAATATACAACATTGGTGCCAAAATATGAAACGTTTGAACTTGATATTTGGAATAATTTAGATGTGCACTAAGGAATTGATTTTCCAATATTCGCATTTTAAAGAAGTGGTCAAACAAGGAACTTGAAACTTTTTTATTTTTATTAATGGTTGCCATAGGTGACCCCGGTAGATCGGGTACAAGCATGCATCACAAATTGTCACACTTGTGGCTTCAAATAAAGAAACTATATCTTAAAATGTGTGTAGCTTATATACTCAATAACTAATCGCTTAAATTTGATGAAAGCCTCTGAAATTATTTTCATAGATGTCAGTTAAGTTGAGAGAGGAGTAAGTAGTTTAAACCATAATAAAACATATACCAATCCGTGACTTACAGTTGCCAACTCAGGTTGGATTATTTCACCAAGCTAGGTATACTGAAGCCACCTTTCCCGTGAACCTTAAGTTATACTAAAACTAAAATAAACTAAGATAGTGTATATACCATATAATATTTGCCACAAAAAAAAAACTGCACACGGGCAAATAGAAAATCGTGAAAATACATTATATTATATAAGAAACTAATGCATTTTGAGTCCTTAAACTTATACTTATAATATTGTCAGTATAAAAATCTCTGAGGTGAATTTTGACGGGAGATGCTGGGTGGAACAGCTAGTACTTAATAAAATGCATTTAGGATACAATTTGTATTTTACTTTTACATATTTTTATTTTTATTTCTAATTATGTAAAATGGCATTATTTATAATCAAATTAATATCAACTAAGACTAACATACTATCAGTTTTAGGTTTCTAAAAATAAGTTTAGAACACGTTATATTCCCATTGTTTCAGTATGTCTGTCCGTTAGTTACATTAGATAGTTACGTTTTTGATACTAAGATATTTATATATTGCCCATAGTTATGATTGTTTGTATTTAAATATTTAATAATTTCGATTGTTATTTCTAATATAATTACTTATACGTATTTAATATAGATTCATACTAGCCAAAATTTTAGGGTTACTGAATTATAGTTTATTGTGTTGTATAAAAATTGTTTTGAAAACCAATAACTTATGATGCTTGGCCGAGGGAGCTCTATTGAATTTTTTTTAGTACAATTATTCCAACCATAACTAAAATTGGTATAAGGAAATACTATTACCTACTAGGAATTATAGAAAAATAGTGGAAAGTAAATGAAAGCAATTGTAAGTACACAGAAGTATAACTTACAGGAAGTCTGATGTTCAAATTTGGTTTACCCTACCACTACAAGAATAAACGATCTAAGTTTCATTTTTAAATGATCCAGAATAAAAAATTCTTAAATTACATATAATATGAGGTATACTTGCAAAATACAGAATTTGTTTTAGGAACAATATCTAACTATCAAAAATATTACTATTGTTATAAATTATAATATTTTTAATATTATTGTCTTATAAATTAAGACCAAAATTAATTCAGTCTATTTTAAGCTGTTTTCCTTATCTAAATAATTTGTATTAAATTTGTAATAATTACCATGAATAACTGCAGGATTAACAACAGCATTTTTATGGTGGTAACTTTTTGGAGGAAAACGAGCAAAATCACTCTGAGTATAAACTGGTGGTGTGCCAGACACCAAACTTTGTCGCATACCCGTATATTCCGGTATATTATCATAAGAACCTATAACAAAGAAGTCAAATATAATATATCAATCAATTTAATAAGTAATACATATTAAACTTCAGAATGATAAAACAAGTGTATATAGAAGAAGAGTATATCACAATGAACCAACACATTCAAATGCAATTTAAATATAAATTGACATATCCTCCTAATAAACCTATCATTTACCGGGATCCATTTAACATAAAACACTCATTATTTGAAAAACTACTAACATTATTAAAAATATTTGTTTAAATAAATTTAAGTAGTTAAAATCCAACATTTTCTAAAACTATTTTTATTGTTACCATTATTAAACTCATCTAGTACAAAAAACATTTTTAATTTCTTATTCAAAGCATAAATGGATAATAAACATTGAATTTTGGAAGAGTAGTTTGTGAGTTATATGAACTTGAAGTTTAGATGAGCTAAGTGGTATGGCACAGAGGTACCTAGCAAAATGTTGGTTCACTACTCCGCTCATATATACTTTTAATACATATACAACTATTAAACTGAAATTTAATTTTCTAAAAACTAAAAATGATAACAATAAAAATAGTGAAAAAAATTTGTTTTATAAGAACTTTAAATTATGTAAATAAAGGAAATATTTTCTGAAATAATTAGTGTCTTACATTAAATGGATCATCCGTGTATTTATAATAATTTGTTTAACATACCTGTCTTATTTATTACAGAAAAATGTGATACAGCAGGCGCTGATGGTATTGGAACAATCTGTGAATAAAATTATATAAAAACATTACTTAGGTATATTGATTTATAACACAAAATGCATATCTGTATCAACAGAAAACATACTTTAGCAGGAACAATTTCATTAGCCGAGTGAATAACATGCGATGGAGGTGTTATTATAAGTGGGGAAACATTTTGAGATTCCATAATAGAACGTTGCAATGATGTTGTAACAATACGGCTTTGCGCTTGAGCTGTCATTTGAGATCGTGCAGGTGCAAATCCAATTGTTTTTATAAGTGCATCACTATTCATCTGAACCTATTAAATAAATATAGAAAATCATCAAATTAGTGTATATTATACAGTCTAAGTCAATTTTTCTTATGCCACAAGCATATTATACACTATATTATAAGATTATTAATGGTTCAAGAATCGACCTAAGTTGAAAATGTATTTGTAACATAAAATAGGAATAGTGGTTTTATAAATAATTCACAACTACCTATCTTAAAATGTTTTAGTTGGAAAATGTACATTATACATGTCCTAATATTAAATATATTTTATTATTCGACCCATAAAAATACCTAATTTAAGAATATAGATAAGTTGATTATTGCACAAGGAAAACTCATTTTAAAAGTCTGATTTTTAAGATTAAGTACAACTACACTAGATTAGAATAAATTAATTATAGTTAAATCTTTTTGATGTTCTTGCGGACTGATAAAGAATAGATTAGTTTATTCATACGTTAAACTTTAATTGAAAGTAACATTATTAAAAACGGTACTTTATTGTATGTAATGGTTTTTTTGTGTGCAAAAAAATTGATCAATATAAAATGAATTCATAAATTATGATAATATACCATGTAATATTGATTATTTTAATGTTATTTCAAAAAATTGTAACACTAAAAATAAATTACCGTGTCTGTCATAAGTAGCAAAGATTTTGATCAATGTAAATAAGTAATCATAAACATAACTTCTACTGTAATTAGTTAACTATCCACATTGTAAAGACAAGTAAATTATATAAATTATAGTTCTGCAGAAAACTGAGAGATTGTTTTGTGATTTTTATCTTACAAATTCTACATAAGGTATATATTTGAGTGTGATGTTTATAGTTAGTGGAAAAAATTGAGAGCAAATTTGAAAACAATTAGAAATTTATTCTGAAAACATTTCTGAGTTATTTTAATAATTTATTATAAATCATGAAATGTTAAGTTTAAAAAAAGTACAAATCTAATTTCAATAATATTGCAAGCTACTCAGAATTTAAAATAATTTGATATAAAAACATTAAAATTTGTTACTTGAAAAATAATAGTTATAACTATAATTCAAACTAAAAGTCTAGCATTCTAGCACCAAAACATAAGCATTATAATACCTAACCTATACACAGTATCATAGGATTTGGCATTAGTTTCTATAAGTATATTGATCTAAGTTGACTTACTTGTGAACTCAATTGCTTATTAGGATGTAATATTACAGGACAAATACCATGTTCATCTACAACTTCATGGGCTGACAATTTCGGTATACCTTATTAACATAAAACAAATATAATTAAATATTAGACATTAATATTATAAAATTAAAGTTAAAAATTCACTGATATCAATGAACATATATATTATTAAGTAAATACTAAATACATACATAAATTAAGGAATAAAGAAATAAGTTATTTTATTCTTAATATAATTCAATACTTTAAGAAACACAAAACTAAGATTTGATGACTGATATTTTTGTTTCAAGAGCACAATTAAAACAGGTCTGTCACATTTCAAAAATTATGCTATATCTCAAATATGCTATGTCCAGATATATTATATTATATGAGACATACCACATTTGAGGTTCAACAATTTTTAAAATGTGACAGAACGTTCGTGCAAGGTATTCATGGATCCAAATATCACAATTTTCAAAAAAGTGGACATAGCATATGCGTGTCTTATGGTATTGAGTCATATAATTTAACATTAAAATCTATCTACAATTACATTATAATATACTTATGCCGAATTGATAACGCCTATATGCAGACATTTTAATGAATTATAGACCTCTAAATAATTTTGAAGACCATTCAACATGAGCTCACTATTAATTCTTTAAAAATATATAGCAATTGTTTATCAACTCCACATTAGCATATTATATTTTTTTAAGTAGTAAACTAACCTGGTTTTATGGAATTTCCAATAGGTGAGAATTGAGTTAATGAATTATTATGAGACGATGGATTGCACATTCTATATGCCTAAAAAAAAGTAAAACACATCAATTAATACATATAATAATACTTTACACTTATTGACATTTGATAAAAATATAATTTCAACACATAAAGGCTAAACAAATTACTAACTAACTAATCTAACTAATTTGAGGACATTTAGTATTTTAATCTAAATTAACAATATTGTATACAAAGTATTTGCCTAGTAAAATGACTAGTATACAAACTAAACCTATTCTAATAAATAATATTGAAAATGCATAACTTCAGTTAGAATATAAAGTTGGGCCCTAGAAATTAATCAGTTATTCCATTCCGTTCATCTCTTCATAGTAGTTATATAAAATTTATATTATCTGGTGCCAATTAATGTTTATAAAATACTAAATGTTGCGATTGATACATTTAGTTTGCTGCAGAGTTGAACATTTAAATAAAATTTACAACATTGGAGATGGATGTTTTTGTTTGTTCTAACACAATTTTTATCCACATCAATTTTTGGTTTTTAGGTTACAGAGAAACACAAAATCATTAACTGAAAGTCTAAAAGGCGAGAAATTAGGTAAAAACTTTTGAATGATACACTTATGAATTTTTTTTAAAAAATAACTACCATGGAACAAATCATTTTGTTTAGGTACACAAAAACAGTATTAGACCAATGGTGACTAAACGAGATGCCTTCATCAATTTATCGTAGTTAATCACATCGACATGGTGAAACAATGAAAAATCACATTCCAAAAACGAAAAAAAAATTTTAAAAAGACAATGATTATTAAATTTTGATGAAAAAAGAGAAATTTGTTTTTAAAATGCCACTCGATGGTCAAATGTCAAACTAACTTGTAACATATTATACAGACGAGTTTGGCCATTAAAATGTGGCACAGAAAAAAATATTTAAATGGCTGAATCAGCCAACTGTTACTAGAAACTTGAGTACAATAAGCTGGGCACCATGTTGTGTATTCAGCTGAGTACTAAGTATGGTGCGACATGAACATTGAAACTACAGTGATGCCATTTCGAACGAGTTAATTTTAACGTAATTGCTCAACATTTATTTCGCAGTGAAGATGCTTTCGGGATTGAGTCTGTCGGTGTTTTTCACCAAACATTTCTCACAGGAAAAAATTACTACTAATTATCGGATAAATCGAATTTTTCTACACCACCGATTTCCCGCGAATACACAACGCAACATTATTACAAACTATAAAAACGCGGAAAAAGCGAGAACGATGCCCGCAACAGGCGTACCAATGTAACTTCAACATTAGTACGAGAAATCGTACTGAAAAACGTACATCAGTCATCAGTCGCAAACCGCGAGCGGCGTAAGAGAGAGCGGAGAGAATCGAAGCGACATGATTATCATTGCGTAGGTACTACGTCTCACGCAGACCGTACGAGATCGGCTGCTGTCGTACTCAGGACCTGTCATGGTCAAAACCCGTACGAAGGGAAAACCGTTGAGATATGGGGTCGTAGAGACGTTTTCGGAAGGGGGGGGGGGTTCAAAAAACGGCAAAACGAAAAATTTTTTTCGGTACAAGCTCCCGTGATGGACGAAATGGTGGGCGGGGGGTGCAGTTTGAACTGCACAAGGCATTTCTCGACGGCAAATGGGCGGGAGGGCGGACGGCAGACAAGAAAGACGGACGGGCTAGCTACCGAAACGTGACGGCGTCGAGCCGATACTCACGGTGGCTGGCACGTCGACGGCGCTTTTGAGTACGTCTTGCTTGCCGATGTTGGAGAACGGACTGGCCGTCAGTATTAGGTTGCCGTCTTTGATCTGGTCGGCGACGTCACTCATGCTGAACGGGTACGGGCGAGCGGGGTCGGGCGGGTCGCCGGTACAACGGTACGATACGACGACGACAACGACAACGACGGCGGCGGCGGCCGCGGGCCTCGGCGTCGGCGGGTACGCGCGGCGACGGTGACGACTGCGGCTGCTGCGGAGGCGGTGGACTGGACCGACCGTGAGCGGCCGCTCGGAAAGCTATCGCAGACCACCGGACGGACTCAAGTCGCACCGGACAACGCAACGGGCGCACAATAAAGGGCTGTGTACAACGACGGCTCGGTGGCCGGTGGACGACGCGGCTGAGGCGGCGGCGGCGGTGGTGGCGGCGGTGTCGGCGACGACGGACGGCATCGCGCGCGACCGGACGACAACACGTACACCACCGGACGACGTCGACGACTTATTTAGAAAGCCCGCGCGACCGATTGCGTCCACTGCGAGCGTTTTGGCTGGTAGAGCAGCTGCGATTAAGGCAGACGACGACGATTTCTAGTCCGATTTCGCGTACCGACGACGCACCGCAGACCACGACAACGCATATAATATCGTTAAAAAAGGGTGAAGATCACTGCCGCTACCGCCGCTCGCTGTTTCTGTCGACGTTGTGTTATTGCGAACGCTACGCGCGTTTGTTTGTACGATATTATGTATTAACTTACGTTGTTTGTGGTGTGTGTGTGTGTATGCGTGTGTGTATGTGTGTGTGTGTGTGTGTGTGTCTTTGTGTGTATTGTGTAAGTATTGTAGCGATAGAAATTGGCAAAAATATCGCCCAAAATTGAACGCGGACCGAATGAGAAGCGGTCGTTTTGTAGCCGCCGCCGTCGCCGCTGCCGTTGTCGTGTTGTCGTCGTCGTGTCGTTCTCGTCGTCGTCTTCGTTGTGGTCGTCTCGTCGTCGTCGTCGTCTTCGCAGCAGCAACAGCAGTAGTAAGTAGTAGTAGTAGTAGTAGTAGCAGTTGTAGTAGTATTTAATGACAATAATGGTAATCTTCTTTTTTTCGTTTGCTACTGTTGCGCGCTCGGCCGTTTCGTTTGGAATAAAAAAATTATTCGCGCGCGCGTCACATGCACAGAGCAGTGGTACGGGCCGAGTAGACAACACACTGGTGGCGCGCACAAGTATTCCGTCGCGGCGCTTGTACTGGCTGCCGAGTGGTGTCGGGGACCGTCGCTGCCTTCCCGACCGTGGTGCTGGCTAGCAGCTGGATAATCTATGGCAGTAGCCAGTAGCGGTCTGCCGATGCGCGTGCGCGCGAGCGATCACCCGCCCTGCCCCGCCGCGGTATCAAGAGTACGTTCCGGACAGGCGGCGGCGGCGGCGGACATCGGGCTCGAAAACGCGCGCGAACAGCGGCGGAGACGTGATGCCGTCGTAATATTATTATGGCAGGAAAACAAAATATTTCGGTTTTTCAACCGATAATGTTATGCGGGTTCACGGGCAGAGTACGATTTCCTACGTCAAGCTCATATTTGTGCGTCAAGCCGTTTTCGTTTGTTTGATGTTTTCGTTCGATTGTCTTTTTTTTCCATACGCTTGTTACTTTTTCTTTTTTTTTTCTTTTTAACGACTAATTGAACTGTAACCGTTTTCACTGGTCGACGAAACAAAAAACCATGGAGGTAACGGGCGAAGATGCGACCGCCTCCAAATGCGCGTTATCTGCGCTTATCCGTTTTTTATTATTCGTTATCACGACGTCTCGATGTCCGACCGATTCTCTTTCTCTTTACACGTCGTCAAACATCGATGACACAGTTAGGTATGTAAATCGTAGCCGTCGTCCGATCTCGCTCTCTTCCCAAACTTGAGCAGGAGCTACCGCGGTCCGCCATCGCTGCTGCCGCCGCGTTCTGTTGTCTCGACAGAATGTCAATTTTTTTAAAAGCAGAAACCCCTCAGTAAAGTAAACGCCGTCGAGTGATAGGAGAAAAAGTACTTATGGACGGCCAGACAACAGATAATATTGCATAATTATTACATAGTTATCGATAGACAATAATATTATTAATTATTATGCATAAATTAATTTTACACCAAGTCGTAGGTTCGACTAGATTTGGAACCAGTTGAAACTTGAATGTGCCAAATGATAATAATAATAATAATCGAGTTTTAGTTAACACTGACATAATTTTACTGTTGTGGAGCAAGAGAGCGATTGGTTTTACAGTGGTATGATATTTTTTTCAATATAGATAAAAAATTGAAAATTATAATATATAAGATTTCACAATTGTTTTTAAGAAGACGTGATACGAAGACAACACATGCAGGTATCACGTCCTCTTAATAAAACAAAATTTGCCAGTACAAAAATACATAATATTTAAAATATATATTACTTATAAAAAAAAAAATGAAATAATTAGCTAACCAACAGTGAATTTATAACTTAATTTACTATTTAATGGATATGAAATTTCTATATTCAAATATTATTATTTCAATGCTCTTAATTTTTATCTTGTACTAAAAAGCCGAATACTATTGCATATTATCCATAGTATACAATTTAAATATTTTGTACACAACTGTCGAATATGTACACTACAATTATTTGAGAATGTAATACATCAAAAGCATAAAACCAAGTTTCCTTACTAACCACTCAGAATCTAAATTACATTTAATGAGTCTCAATAAAAGATTTATTGATCACTAAATTTTCTGTCCTCAAAGAAACAATATAACTATAATTAATAATAATTAGTTACAACTTACAGGTGGTATTGACTCCGGAGCTTCTTGAAATGTTAAATAATGATTTTCGGCTTCATTGGTAAATTGAAATGAAGAAAACATTGGTGCATCTAATCAACAGAAAATGCATTAATTATAATATTTTTAAACATGTTCATATAATATTTAATTCATAAATAAAAATGTAGGTATATTACAATTAATATGATCCAACGCTTGTGTTATCAGTAATAAGTAATAAGCAGTCTAAATACATTATAAATTGTATTAAAATACTTTTTAAAAGATGTATTTAAGAACAGATACAAATGATTGGCATAGATTTAAATACTTTTTAAACACTTTTTTAATTTTACTTATATAACAATACATATGAGGTATTAATATACATTTTGTAATTATAGTAATGACTAATTTAAAATTTTATGTCACATTTAATTATCGTTAGAAGTTTTTACTACTTCATTTTATACTAAAAAATGAAAATAAGTAGAAATTTTTTTTATTTTATTCTGAAATGCTTGGTTATTAATTAAAACATTAAACTGTTGCTAATGAAATAAAATATGATACAAAATTTTTTATAATTGTATACCTATTAATTATAATTAATAAAATATAACAAAGATCAGAAAACGAACTGAAATGTCCTTTTGAATTTTGAAACTCTTGAAAGTATCAGATTTTCAAATACAATAACTATCAAGAGAGTATTTAAAATACTTTCCATATACTTGATTTAAGAATTGTAGTAAACACTACGTATTTAATTGTATTGTGATTTGAAATACTGTCTTGGAAGTATTTATACTTGAAAATCAAGTATTGCCGTGTAAGTAATTTTCAAAAATCAAGAAAACTATTCATCCAATTCAAATTGTTTATGAAAATCTAATTATTAAACATTTTTATATTATATATTTCACTAACAAACTATTAATTATAATATTTGATTAATATTAAAAATATCTTAGAATTAAAATATTATAACAAATTATTATTAGTTTTCATTTTTCAGTATAAAATTAAATAGGAAATACAAAGTTTTAATGATTCTTAAATGTGTTATATTTTATTAGTAATTACTAATTCCAAATTTAATCTTTTTATCTAGTTGTGCAAATGAATCAGAAAAATTAAAAAAGTATTTATATATGTATTTAAAAATAATTTATTAATAGACTGGTATTTAGATACATTAAAAGACTGCTTATAAATAATAATATAAAATGTAATTAAGTTCATATGAACAAGTCTCTGACAAAAATTAAATAAAGATAAGTTACCATAAGTAGGATGATTAAAAATTGCAGTTTCTTCCCGATTTTCAAATTGTCTTGGATTTGGCCTGTAATTAATTTAATAATTGTTTGCATAAGTAAATGTAACATTTACATTTCAAAATAATTGTATTAAGAGGACGTATCACTGGCATTTGTTGTCGCGTAAATGTTACATTGCAAATGTTAGCTCAGCAGATCACATTTAGCTTCGTTAGTGAATTGACCTATCATGAAACTTGATGTTAAGAACATTATGTGTTTGTATAATGGTTTTTACTTTTTATTTATGTTATATTATAAACGCAACACTTACCAAAAAATTAAGCTGTCGTGAAAAACCCTACTACAAACACAGATAATATTCTTACCATCAAGTTTCATATTATGTCGTTTACTCTAATTTTTAAACTAATGAAGCTAATTTATTGTGATCCGCTGAGCGTAAATTTGCAATGTTACACACTTTTAAGATGGAGACAACAATATTAATCATACTACGTCCTCTTAAGAAGACGCCAATCTAGCATGTGATGGATCCTTACATGGAGCCTTACAAATGTACAATAATATAGCAAAAACGGTTTAGCGCAGGACAACTTTTCTTGCATCATATTTATTGTAGAACTACCAAATTTTCACAACTCTTAAAGAAAAACTTAATCTGTGCGACAGCGTGCTTTTTTTTTTAAAAAATAGCACTATACAATCATTTTTCTTAAATTATAAGCAAATGAAAAAAACTAAATGTTTAGAAGTGAAAATGTATGTTATTGGCAACCTGTTGAACAGATAATTTTCTACACTATATGTTCAGAAATTTTGGAGTCACTACTACAAACACAGAAAGAAAAAAGTTATCCCGCGCAAAACAGTTTTTGCCATGTTGTACATTTGTAAGACGGAGACAACATATGCGGGTGTGACGTCTTCTTAAATATATGATAATATACTCTTTCATAAATCCTCCATCAAGTGGTTTGGGCAAAATTTTTGCGAAACTGGAGATATAATGTTGACT